AAAGGTGGGATTGTTTATGGAAGACCGACTAAAGGTGGGATTATTAGATTACATTTTTCCGTGTTAAATAGGTGAAAAAGGAGTTAAGGGTGAAAGACTTAACGAAAAAAAAAATAAACGAAATTGGATAGAAACTATTAAAGAATAATCTTATATTAAGTTTTTACATCCTAGGGGTAGTTGTTTACAAAAAAAATGGAGTAGTTGTTCACAAAACATGTGATTTATTATGTTATAATTCCTAACAAAATTTCATATATAAAACTTTGATTATTATCTTTGATTTATTTGACATGGGGATTCTATATGAATTTCGTCTACATCTCAATTGAAATAGATTAAGATTTACCTTGTAATCACAACTCATTAAAAGCCTTTTGTAGAAAGTTATTTTTAATACTGACATGGAAGAGGAACGTGATGAAGAAATTAAAACTCATCCTTACCCGTCAAAAAAATAAATAAATAAAACTCATCCTTAAAGATTGGGTTTTTAACAAATTTGAGCCTTATTATTTTTCAAATTTGATTTATATCAAATACTTTCTTACTTCTATTTCAGATGTATGGATTTTAATTAATTAATTAATTGCGCCCCTTTTTTCTTTTTCTCTCTCCTCTCTCCTCTCTCTTCTAGGGTTTTAGTTTTCTTAGTCGTTTAGGCCGGAAATAGTTTAATTTCTTCGGAAATTAGACTATTTTCGACCTTTTTTCTTTAATTCAATTTAGTTTTTTTGTTTTGCTTTACGTTTTGTTTTGTTTTGTTTTGTTCTCTCCATCCTATTTGTGAGGGTCGTCTGCCCCAATTTTCTGGGTTTTTTCCCAATTTTCTGGGATTTTGATTCTCATCTATAGATGGGAATTTTATTTTTAGGGTTCTTATAATAATTGGGAAGGTGATTTGGATTCCTATGGGTATGGGATTTGTCATCAACTGGTCGATCAAAACATCAGCGCGGACTGTGAAGGTCTCAACTTGGAAAGATGCAAAGACATCGAAAATCATTGCTCGCGTCAAGCTTGAAGTGGTGGAGTATGAGCCATGCCAAATATGCAAATTAGTTATGATTTTGATTGTAAAAGTTATGATATTTTCTCTAAATATGTGGTTTACAGATCTTAATTATTGTAGATGTCGTATGGCTATTATTTAATGATTACTTCCCGTTCAAAAAAAAAATAATTAATTAATTTAGTCATAGGAAAATAAAACTTAGCTTATATGTTTTTTTTATTGATACTAGGACGGCTAACACACGCAGTGCATACATCATAATTTTTTAAAACTATATGCTTGGGAAGCTCTTTCGATTTGACATTGTGCCACAAATTGAGTTTTTAACAATAAAAAAAACAATTAATATTAATTAGGACAAATATGTAGATATATTTTTCGGTATACATGTCCACACGCTATTGATAAGAGTAAACAAATAAAAGTAGTTAATATCAATAAGGGAAAACTTTTGACACAATTAGTTAATATCAATAAACCACCACAATCCCAACTTTGTTTGAGCTAAGCTCCAACTATTCACGAATAGTTCATGTTTATTATCGCAAGAGGTTGTTATATACACTCGGGTATACTGTACATTCATGAGTATTTAGTTCTCATTTTGATGATTGTTTTTTATTTAATCATCAAATGAAGAACAAAAACTAACCTTAAGTTAGTTGGGTGTACGGTACACCCGGGTGTATATAATAAATTTTATATATCACCCCTAATTACAACATTGCACCAAATGAAACTGCAATATGGCTACTCCATTTCTTTTTAGTTGGCACGTATTGAGTTTAGCACCTTCACACACTTTCCTCTAATTGTATTTTGCGACTTTTTTGTACGAGTAATGGAAATTATAGTTATGTGGGATCATATTAGAATCGTCACAATATATATATATATATATATATATATTGTAACACCCCAATAATTCTCTCTTTAAACCTGTGAGGACCCTGAACAATATTCAAGAGAATTACTGGCGTACTACCGCCACGTGTTCAAACGTTAAGGCTTTATCAGAAAATAGCAGCGGAAAAAACTTAATCAGTTATAAATAAGTTTCAAAACCAACGAATGAAACCAAATTAAGTCATACAACTTGGAACCATTAAGGCCCTTATTCAAAACCCAATAAAAGTAGTAAGTGATTAAATTCAGTGTTCAAATAAATTCAAACCCAAAAGAAATAGTGTCGAATAAAATCGAATTAAAATAAATTCAAACTTGCAAAAGAAATAAAATGCAAACAACCAACTCTCTACTCAAGATCCCACAACCCTAATGAATGCTGCATGTGTAAGAACCTGTGGTAATTCTGCTCCCCAATATTACAAGTGTAAAAATTGAATCGTCACAAGGTCATTGAAAGGCGAAGGCCATGACTAAAGAAAGACACACAAAGCACGCAATCAGCAAAGCTGAGTACATACAAGCTGCAAAATAAATTAAGAAATCCATAACATGCTACTAATAATCAATCATCATGCATCATTAAATTATAGACTCAACACACGACTCAACTATTTATATTACTAAGACTCCATTAATTAATAATAGGTAAATCATTATTTTTATTCATTGGATTACGCAATAGACAAGGTTGTCCAACCCATGCTCCATTTGGAACATCAATAAAATAAAAACCCCATGCCTCCTTTCGGAAACATCAATAAACATCCAACGACCACGGGCGCGACTCCGTGACCGTAGTTAGTATGAGATCTCACCTAACTCCTAGTTTTGAAAAATATTTGAAATAAGAGACTCGTAGATCAGACGGCCTCGAGAAAAGTACACGGCTAATACCCCATGTACCCCAACCCCTGATTGTCATTACTACAGAAGTGCACCAATCCAGAGTTTTATTGCTTATCCATCTTGCACTTTACGTGATTTACAGGTTTAGACTTGGTGATGACTCATATACATAACAATACAAACATTCTAAACACAATTTAATCAAACAAGACAAGTTTCCAATTTCAATTCTTGATTTATTAGTGATAAACAACACTTATTATTTAATCCTTTACTACCTCGGTGTATAAACACCTTGAGTGCATAAGGCACCCCAAAACCTTAACCTCGTCTTATAAGACTTAAATCCTTCCTTTACTCATCTTGTTTGCATAATCATGAATGAGTAATAAATTAATCTTTTTACCAATCACATACCTTTGCCTCTAAACGCACCTTGCATAATTAGAGCACAAATAATACTTGCATTATAAAATAGTGCACATCATTTGAAATTCACAATGTATAACCAAACAATTTAACCCAGTCAATCCTATACATGATACTAAGTTCTCGATCCGTCCTTAAACATGCACCTAAAAGAAAGGTTTTGTAACTCGTACGTAACTTGAGCAAACGAATTGGTATGCCACTTTACTAACTAGAAATCACCTTCAATAAACTCCTCTCCTAAGCCAAATAATAACATCTCAATTAATTCCCAATCAATCAAATTTACAGCAATACTAACTTACTTTAAAACCTTCAAAATCCAAATCAAACAACACTTTAAAACCTTCCCTTTAGTTAAAATTAAAGGCTTATATATAGTTCTTTAAATTTTCTTCATAAAAACCTTAAAATACACTCTTATACATGAAATTACAGCAAGTTCAAAGTCTAATAAAAATCTGAAAATTATATAAAAACCCCTAAAAATCTCCCTTTTTAATGGGTGATTAAACCCTCTTTATAAAACATCAAAAGTAGTACTTAGAAACTATTTCCAACACTTAAAATTTCAATAAAAACATATATTTATGCTTAATTAACTTTAAACATAATTAATTTTATTAATCAAACTCAAGGATAATATTTTAAGTATAAAAAAAACTTCGTTAAAATCAAAAATTGCCCGAAAATCATAGTTAGAGGCTGAATTTGGCCACGAGAGGGTGGTGCTTACTACCAAAGGTAGTAAGTCTTTCCTAAAACGTTGTTTCCAAACTGAAAACACTACTTTTTCATCAAAATCGGATGAGTTCAGAATTTGATCGGGATTAAAACGGGATTAATATTAACGAACGAAAATCTAAAAATTAAAACACGAATCTATGTGTTCAAAATAATCTGGAATTAAGTTAAACTAATCAGTATTTATAATCACCAAAATTTCAAAACATCATTACTATAAAAGCCCTAAATCAATTGTTCATAAAAACCCTAAAATCATGATTTTCAATAAATTGAAACCCTAGGTTTATAATTCATAAAATATGAGATTTATAACATAAATATAATCTGAAATTTATAATCTTTATACCATTAAAATATAATTTGATACTAAAAATATAATCTTTATACTAAAATCAAAACCCAAAACAATTAAATTAACATTAAGCAAAATAATGAAACAAAGGAGGATGAAAATAAGACTAACCATTTTGTGTGGGAAATTTTTGGAGATTCATGGGGTATTTATAGGAAGGAATTATTGTAGGGTAAAAAGAAAGATTGGGCCTCATAAAAATAATGGGTCGATTAAGTAAACAAATGAGTTAGGCTTGTGTGATTGGACATAAATTGTAGAATAAAGGTGCATAAAATAATTTGTTCAAATAATTTTCGACCCAGATTAATAATTTGAAACTTTTAAAATTAAATTATGAAAAATAACAAATAAATATTATAAATAAAATAAATTTTCATTTATAAAATATTAAAAAATACGGGGGATTACAGATATAGATATCTTAGTATTAACTTTTTATAATTTTACTTATTGGTAGTTTTAAAACTGCTCAAGTCCAGTTTAGTAAAATTCAGTTATCTTAAAGAAGATTTATCATAGAAAATCAATAAAAATAATTTAAATTCAACAAATATAATTTTGTTTTCGTATAAATAATTTCAGTTCATCAAAAGTAAGGTTCAAACGGGGCTTAATAGTTGAATCTGGACATGTCAAATACGTAGTATAATACATATTCATACGCCGACTATAAGGCTTTGAGCCGTCGTAAACCTTCGCACTCCTAAAATACCTACTTTACCCCAATTACAGAGTACTCCCTATTTTCCTAATAAGCGGCCACCATTAGAAAAAATCACAGATTTTAGGAGCTTACCCCATATTTTAGAACCCTAACTCAGGAAATTGAATTCGAAATAATTATGTCTGGGCTTTCCTGCAATGCTTGCAACAAAGAATTCGACGATGATGTAGAACAAAAGCTTCATTATAAATCTGAATGGCACCGTTACAACCTCAAACGCAAGGTAACAATAATTCACTGAATTTCTTAAACTTTTGTTTTTTCTTCTGTTTATATCTCTTTTTTATTTGGGTTTTTGATTAATTTTTGTGGGTTATTGCTTAATTTGCCTTTTGTTTTTTGGGTAATTGAATTTCACCAATTTGTGTGTATTTGTAACATGTTTGGAGTGTTTCTGGTTCTTCTAGGGTTAAATTAATTGAATATTATGTGAACAACAACATATTACCCAGAATTAGACGTGTTTGTGGGACAAACAAAACTTGGTTGATAAATCGGCAATTTTTGGATTTGTCTATGTTTGCTGAAGTTCAGAAATTTATTAATTATGCTTGGACTTCCCTGATTATTGGGGTTTGGGCTGTTTTGTGTGTTATTTTATAAGAATAATGTTTTTACTGTATGTCTGTATTGATTAATTTTGAGTATTTCTTTCTTAGACTTATGTGAGTTTATAATTCATCGAATCCTGTTGGAGCCTCTTGATCATTAAGCTTCATCGCCATAGCATTATTCCCAACGACACAGGGTCGGCTGCATGAACCATCTTGTGGATCTGACATAGCTTACGCTGGTTGTCAAGAACCCACTGCAATCCCCTTGGCAATGAGCCAATGAGTAAACTCACAGCCATAGTTTCTGTGACCGTTTGTTAATACAACCAAATTAACAGAATAAGCACGACATAAATGATTGGCTAAGTAGGCTGCAAAGAATTATCATAGTTCTAGAAAAGTTTTATGATAACTGTTGGGCAAAGTAGTTTGTGAAGTTGGATTTTCAAGTACTAGAGTTTAGAATGCGTCTTTTATCATGTTTATATCTTGATCATTAGAGTAGGAGTTGGAGCTGTTAGCCATGGATCGTTTTTTCACCAGTCTTATGACTCTTATCTTAGGGATTTCTTCCTTATTCCCGATAGGGTGAGCCTTTATCCTACTAGAAAGAAAAAAAAAATATATATAGTCACGTAATGAGCCGGGATTTCATTTCCTTCCAAAGGCTTGTTTGTTTTGGAAAGGTGGTAGGAGCCATGTTGCGGGGTTCCTTAAGGCAATATTCTGTAGCTATATTATCTTCATAGTGCTCTTAGGGGAGGTTACATTCCTTAGGTTCTTCAATTGCTACTATGTAACTTTGCTTTCGATGGCTAGGTGCTAGGTCTATGATAGAAGAAATTATACTGCAATGTCGTCAATTTAGTTTTCTTTTTAGTGATGCTCTTCTTCTTCTTTTTTTTTTTTTTCCATGCAATATACTTTAGAGTTTTTAATTAATTTTTACTTCTGTATTGTGTTCTAATTTTATGTTGCAGATTGCTGGGGTTCCTGGGGTAACAGAAGCACTATTTTTGGCAAGGCTATCTGCACTTGCTGAGGAAAAGAGCAAGTTAAATGAGGCCCCCATGCTCTACAGTTGTAGAATTTGTGGCAAGGGTTACAGAAGCTCTAAGGCTCATGCTCAGCATCTCAAATCAAAGAGTCACATCATGCGAGCTTTTTCTGGAGATAATAATCAAAATGAAAACACTGCCATAGTTAGGCCACTGACACGTCGTACCCCAGTTCAACCTCCTCCTAGAAAAGATGTGAACATGGAGGAGAGTGATGAAAGTGAGTGGGAGGAGGTAGATTCTGAGGATGATATCATTGATGAGGCTACAAATTCTCTTACATCTATGAATATGAATGGGGATTCTGCTGCTGTGGTTGATTCTGACAGTGATGAAGAAGATGAGTTTGAAGACCTGGACCCAACTTGTTGCTTTATGTGTGACTTAAAGCACCAAACAATAGAAAAATGTATGGTTCATATGCACAAAAAGCACGGTTTCTTCATTCCAGATATCGAGTATTTGAAAGATCCAAAGGGGTTCCTCGCATATCTTGGGATCAAGGTATCAAGTTACTAAAACTATCATATGGCAAGGAATGATGTGGATTTGCAAATCCTCTATCATATCCCCACTTCTTCTAATGCATGCCCCTTCTGATTTTTCTGTTCTGTTAGGTGAAAAGGGATTTCTTGTGCCTGTACTGCAACGAGAGATGTCAACCATTTAGCAGCTTGGAGGCAGTTCGGAAGCACATGGAAGCAAAAAGTCACTGCAAAGTTCGTTTTGGTGATGGAGGAGATGAAGAGGAGGTGGAATTAGAAGAATTTTATGATTATAGTACCAGGTACTAATCCTATCATTTTTAGTTTATAATTAATACCAATCTAAGGGCTTCCCATTTTTTTTTTTTTTTCACTTGAGGTTGACTAGTGGGTTTTTGAGGTCTAGAAATAGAAAACTACAATAGGTAAAGCTGGAATCAGTCAAGAAATAAGTAATTACAGGTGATGAAATATTGTAGGGGAAACAAAATTTTGGTGAAGACTAATGTTTTTTTCACTTAATTAGTGCAGTGAAGGATACATGTGGAAGTTAGGGAGATCTAAGACAAGAAATGATGGATTTTCTTTTTAAGGTGCAAAGTTTTTTTTAATGATGGGTTCTTAAGTGAGAGTAGTGAGGGAACATGTTGCTTCTAGGGGTGAGCAATGCAGAAAACTTAGTCAAATTTCCCAGAATTGGAAAATGAGAACCAATGGGTACCAGTTCGGGTTTAGGGAACCCTGCCGTTATCTTGACTTGATAAAATTTTGCCAAACAAACAAATAAAACTATTCTATGATTAGGGCTTATATTGTTTTATGATTTGGGCGTAAATAGCATTTTTTTTTTCTGGTTCTGGTTCCTTGTACCCAGTATTGAATTCGGTGTTGACTGGTTACCCAATTGTTTTGGTAACCTGTTGCAACAAGTTCCCAATTTTGTTACTCCGTATATGGTATCGCAGGTTACCTAACAGTTTCTTATTTTTTTGTTCACCCCTTGTTGCTTCCACCCCTTACAACTTTACTTTCCAGTGAATCCCACTTATTCCATCCTGTGTAGTAAAGACTGCTCCAATATTCTGTTCTCTCATAGTTTTATTTTTTTTGTTATTGGTTTTTTTCTCATGTTTGTACTGATTTGGTTTCTTTGATTTTGGTAGCTTCATGGATGTAGATGGAAAACAGCTTGTTGCAGTTGATGATGGAGCTAATTCAGTTGAACTTGGAAGTGGCGGGGCTGAGCTCATCATCAAAAGCAGGACTGATAAAGGTGCATCTGCGAAGACACTTGGATCACGAGAATTCTTGCGCTACTACAAGCAAAACCCACGCCCTGCTCCTGCGAATGATATGGCTATTTCTTTGGCGCTAGCTGCAAGGTATGCCTTTCAAAACCTTTGTATCCAATTGAGATTTTCATAGATTACAGTGTGCTGTTCGCTACTAGTACTTAGTCTTAGGGGTGAGCAAAAATTCAGGGTACCTTGATATGGAACCTGTTCGGAACCGCAGGTTCCAAACCCGGAACCTGTCGATCAGGTTCCGGGTAATAAAATTAGGAACCTGTTGCAACAGGTTCCGGTTCCGGGTAATAAAATTTCGGATCTAAAACCTGTAGGGTACCCTCTTAGTACAGGTTCCCTATAGGGTACATGAAACCGGAACCTATATGGTATTAAGAATTCTAGACAATTAGTGTTGGTTTGTTATATTTGAAGTACTATTCTAAAGTTGTAAGCTTTTATTGTGATCATCTATTTTAAAAAAAAATAAATTTGTCACAATTTATCAAGTAACTATTAAACTTACTTTGACAGACAGGGTACCCTGTTTAGGAACCGGAACCTGCAGGTTCCGGTTCCGGTTCTCTATTCTTAGGAACCTGTTGCAACAGGTTCCGGTTCCGGGTCCTGATATTTTTACAGGGTACCCTGCTACGCTCACCCCTACTTAGTCTACCCCTTGCAATGTATAAATTTTTTTTTTTTTTTTTTCCCATTTATATTTCAGGTATAAGAGCATGGGTCTAGCAACTGTGCAATCAAAGGATCGAATGATAAGGATGAAGGTGTTGAAGGAGATTAACAGATCTGGAGTAGAACACATGCGGAGTAAGATGGGTATGAAGAGCAACGTTATTCGGAATCTTCCCAATAATGTTCCATATTAAGCTTTTTTGTTTGCTTTGGCCTACTTTTGTAAGGTTATATTTAAAAATGCTCAATATTTATACACCCTGAAAATGGTATATGTATTTTCCTGACTTCTGAAAATGGTAGTGTACTACTAATTAGTGACTATAATTGAGGAATTTTTATATGTTTGCCTTTGGTCAATCATATGCTGTATGTTTTGTTATTTGCCGGAATTTCAACAAATTACTTTGCAGTTTATACTAGATGTCTCTCCATAGCCACATTCTGGTGACGCTTACAAATGTTGAGCCTCGAGTTTCAGATCTAGTATTGGGAACATGCTAATGGAAGTGGCAAATGCATATGGATCAAATTTGGTTTGGCTTTTACGGATTTCAGGTTTGACAAAGTTGAATTATCAAGTATCAACCATGATCAATTTGCCTTTACCCAGAATTCAGCAGAACTTGAATTTTGCATGAATTAAATAGCAAAACAAACTCTGAAGCTCAACCCCCTCATCTTCGATTGTCAGATGAACAAACACGAGTTCATTGATTACTGCTCTATGCTCCTGCGGCAGTGCTAGTACAAACTTTACCATTGTCGTCGTTACAATGCTCTGAAGAGTACAGGCAAACTACTTCAAGCTCCCAACAAGTATAGATAATCATTGGTAACCCCGGCCCTAATGCAAATAACAGCCTTTGATCTTTTATCTTCTGAATGGCTAACAGTTATGGTGTTCGACTATTTTTGTTCCATTTGTCTCACTTTATAAGTTAAAAATTTGATACTCATCTAAGTAAAAATAATCTTAAATTTCCTAAATTCAAGTGAAAATCATAGGAAGACCTCAACTCCCTAACTTTGATTGAATGTCGTATTTATATACAAAGTGAATATAAGGTTAGCATATTATTAACAACTATATGTAGGTGAAGTTTACTTATCATCTAGTTTTTTTTTTTTTTTTTACTATATTTTTCCTAACCTTTTATTAAGATTAAGATTAAGACATGATTTACAAAGTTTGACACTTTGACCCTTTTTAATTGTTATTGTAGTCATCTCTATCTTCTCCTACCATTTAATTTACGTGATCATATAAAAATCTAATTATTATTAAATATTACTAAAGACTTGTTCATAAGGGTTACTACTTTTATTAAATAACTATATATTAATACTTCAAATTAATTACTAATTTCAGGTTAAGGGATCATAACGATAGTCATATCATAATTTAATGTCAAATTTCCGAGTCATCCCATTAATAAGAAATAAACACCTCAAGAGAGAGAATTGTGACATGATGGTATAACTATCATAGACACTATAGACGAAGTTACTTGACACAATTATTTCAACAACAATAAAAAAGATCAACTTATATACTAATAACAAAAGGCCAAAAAGGTGATTTTTAAGTGTTCTTTAATCTCATGCACCAACACCTCCCATGGCCTCGTCCCCATTCACTTTTAAATATTTTATACAAGTCAACAAATAAAAATAATAACATAGAATGATAGAAGTGCCTTATTATTATTATTATTATTATTATTATTATTATTATTATTATTATTATTATTATTATTTTATTATTATTATTAGAACAATTGAAAAATCATATCATATCTATGGATTGATCAGTTTTTCATTTTAAATAGAGATTGGTGATAGTGATTTTCAACTCGAGGATCTCCTAGAATCGGAAGGGAAGGTGTAACCATTTAAACTATTCATCACTCTCACAAATAACCTTAATATAAAATGAAAATATAAAATATATAAATGCTACGAGTACTCATTCATTATACATAAAAGATACTACTCCGTAATAAAGTACCAAAAATTAATTAATTGTTATGAAATATTTGTGGATATCCATTATTTATATAAACCCCATTATATGGAATACAAGTACACTATATATTCTCTTTCAATCTCTCATCTTTCCCCTTATTTTACAACACGTTGTCAGCACCAAAGCTCTAATCAATATGTAAATTTTATTGTTGATTTCTTAGGTTAATGATTAATTCGTTGTATACTGAATGTGCTAAATTATACTCATTATTATCTTGTTGTGTCGCATCTTGGGAAGAAATTATAAGGGGATTAATCTTGATCGTGAGTTTTGGTCTTTTAATAATGAAATCACACGTTTCAAGAATGTCATATCATTCCCAATCCCCATTAATTTATTTGGGACTAGTACAAGGAGTCTCACGATATTAATAATTTGGTTACAAAGAACTACTTTATAATAGATTAGCCTTAATCAAGGGTTATACTTTATTTTCTTTTCATTGAATTTTTCATGAGTTACATGCTAGCAGATGACGTTGACAACATGAAGTTGACGATAAGGCTAGTTTTTATAGTGGGCAAGGTTTTTATATCAGGAAAGTTCATTCTCAACTATCCTGTTATTGTTAATTTTAAACCTTTACATAATATGTTTATATTGTTTCCCAAATTTTCGTATTTTTATTATTCCTGGAGTTCAATGAGCAATTTGGGAATAGTTGAATTTTGATGCAGAATAACTAATTAGTAGTTTTGTTTTGATTATGAGTTTTGTTTAGTTTGAATCTAAAAGGGTATTTAGATTTATTATTGGGGTTAATTTTATGAACGTATGGTTTTCATAAAATTGTATTACATATATTTGCTAGATTTTGGTATTACTTTTCCTATCCGTAAATGAGTTTGGTTATTTCGCTATGTTTGATAGCAACTATGAATGATTTGATTTAGCAATTATTTACCCATGTCTAATGCCTTAAATGTTTGTAAATTGTACGAAGAAAGCCTAAGGCATATGTGAAACTATTTATAATTTATGTATTGAATTATGTTTTTATATTTCAAGTATGATATGAACCATGTGGTTTTCCACTAATGTGAACGTGTTAATGTTGGTTGCTTATGTGCTTGTTTCTATTTTCTAATTAAGCTATATCAGGCAATATATTGATATAATTTATCGATCCGACAGTATAGTTGATTCAATCGATTCAGGTATGTTTTTATTAAAGTGTGAAGTAGTAGGTCCTCATATTATTTTTACCTTCTCATTCAATTATAGTATTATGTACCTACAAAGGTAAATTGAATATGATTTGCGGACCTGAAGTTCCTTATATTTATAAAGAGTATTCATGTCTTATTTTTACCTTCTCTTTCTGAAAAATGTAGATGGATTGGTATATATTCTCATACATATGAACTTGAAGTTCCTTAATTAATTAAATATATAGCAAAAAGTGTGATATGAGTTCAATTAATTAAACATGACATTGTGAGAAACTATACATAATTATAAGAGGTTTTTTTTTTTTTTTTTTTTTTTTAAGATGAATGTAATTGGGCATGAGGAACATGATAAGTGTTGTATAAGTATAATTTTATATAAGCATGTTTTTGCTAAAAGGAACATGTTACTTGATACATGACATTGCCAAAAGAATTTATGGCTTAAAAGTTGCAAGGATTTTAAAGGTTGTTGGATTGATTCATTCCATACCCCCATATACAAGGATTAGGGGGAGATTGTATGTTACCTTGCATATAAATAATAAAATATATTGATGGTCAGTTTGATACATACAATAACTTAAATATCAACGATTTATTTAATAGAAGTGACCACATGTTCATTAAATATTTTGAAATGATACCATCCTGAAGATGGATATAAACAAATGACATATATCATATACTAGTTATAAATGCTCTAATTTAAAGTTGATGTCCTAAGAGTACAACATCAATTGTTGATGAACCTATAGCATGCCTGAAGCGTGATAAATCAATAGGTTCTAAAGATAATTAAGTATCTTTGAAAAGGAAAGGAGTAATGACAAATTTGAGGAAAAGGTAAATATCATTACATTTCTAGAAGAAATCACTTTTAGTAAAGTTCATATGTTTCATGATTATATACAAGACTTTAGAAGAGTATGAATTATCCAACAAGATTAACATGTATCAAGTTTATAGTTTAAATTCCAGTAGAGTATGAGTAATTATTGGATAAAATATTAATTGATTGTCTTGCCAATTGTATAAAGAAACACATGTTGGTGTTTTAAAATCACGTCACATTCATGGCCATGCATATAGTAAGTTTAATAAAGTGATCACTAGTGTTGAAAATTGACCAGAGTTCAAATTTAGAGAAGTGATTGGATGTGATAATTAAATTAGGTCATCCGGGTTTAATAATAATTACCCGTAATGGAATCCTGAAGTTTCATTTGATAATGTGTTGACGCTTTCTCAATGTTAAATATATAAAATGAATTGAATGGCAAGACGTAATATTGATATTGAGTTATATTTGGATTGTGAGTTTTAATAATTTGTATTGATGAAAATTTCAAGATTTAATATGTTTTGATTTTTTTTATATAAAGGAGTAATGGCTTAAAAAAGAGTAATGGCTGACCAGAAGTTCACCAAAATAACTTATATATTATTGTCAACTATCAAGTGATCAAAAACTCACCAAATACACTATTTAAGACTACTACATTTTTTATCTAATGCAACGGTACAAAAATAGCTAATACAACGGCTAATTTCATACCGTTGTATTAGACTAGGCTAATACAATGGTTTATACTAAAACAGGTCTAATACAACGGTTTATAATAACCGTTGTATTAGATATAAGAATCCGTTGTATTAGACTAGGTCTAATACAACGGATCAAAAAAAAAAAAAAAAAAAAAAAAAAAAGTAAGTCTAATACAACGGATAAAAAAAAAAAGGAAATTCGGAGGGGCCTTATATTGGGCCTAATGCCCTAAGTTCACTCTCTGCCTCTATCTCCTCTCTATTTCACTCTCTTCCCCTCTCTCTTCACTCTCATTCTCTTCCTCTCTTCATGCCTCAAAGACTTAAATTTTTTGTCAATTTTTCAGATATTTTTCCAATTTTTTCGTTTGTTTTTAGTTTTCAATGTTTCGTTTTTTGGGTTTTTTTTTTCGGTTTTGGAATTTTTTTTTCGTTTCTGGATTTTTCTTTTTATTTTTTTGGGTTTTTTTTTCGTTTTTCTGGGTTTTTTTCGTTTTTATGCGTTTTTCGTTTTCATTTTTTGTTTCGTTTTCAGATCTTCGTTTTTCATAATTTACTTTTTTGTCAAATTTTCATATATTTTTTCAATTTTTCTTTCGTTTTTCAATTTTTTGTTTTCGGTTTTCAATTTTTTAGATCTTCTTTTTTCAGATGCAAACGTTTGTTTT